GGTTTAGGTTTTAGGTGCTTAGGGTTGATGGTTTAGGGTAATGGTAGAGGAACTTAAAGTAAGTCATGGAACCCTTATGATTATTGATATTTCTATTATGCCGTATCTGCATGTTCCTCAACTGCAGCGAAGTAGCTGCTCATGTCTGTAAACCATCCAGGCGTGTACACGCCCGTCTGCGCCAGGGCCACGATGGCAAGAGAAGGGGCAATGATGCCGGAAACCACCATGTCACCTAGAAGAATAATAACAATAATAGTAATGATAGTAATAACAATAACAGTAACAATAATAATAGTAATAACAATAATAGTAATAACAATAATAGTTATAACAATAATCGTAATAACAATAACAATAATAATAGTAATATCCATGCAGGACATGTCACCCAGCAACAGTCTTCGGGCCACTGGTGCTTCCTCCTCTTCCTCAAGATCGTCAAGCCTTTGCGCATGAAAATGCGGACCCTAAACCCTAAACCCAACCTCTATAGTGCCAATATTATATAGTTTCATTTGTGTTTTCCATTATCCCAATATAACCCCTATGTAACCCCAATTATGCACAAGCAAGAAAACAGCTTCCAAACGTTTGCCGGGAAACAATTCGTCTGTTTCATCTCCTGATGGGTGTCAAGATCTTCTCATGTAAGCTACATCCTTTCTGCTCCAGAATGCCACTACATAAATTCCACTTGTGGCTTGGATGCCGTGATGGAACAAAACTCACAAACATGATCTGTTGCAAGAGGCCCTGTGACTTTTGACATCTTGGCTACATGCTTGTGCATGGATTTCAGTCCAATCCTTGCTCCCGAAGTGCCGAAGCAAGTACATCGCGCGATGCTACAGATAATAGTAAGAAAAATTATAACAATAATAGTCATAATCGCAATAACAATAATAACAATAGCAGACAATAGTAGTAATAATAGTCATAACAACAATACTTGTAGCAATAATAATAGTAATAGTGATAGTAGTACTGTCCATGCAGGACATGACATCCCATGCCTTCAGTGCGTATCTCTGGCTTCTCAGCATCCGAGACAGCGCTAGCCAGCCGCCACGCAACAAGGCACCACACCTGTCGCAACTCTGTAGCTTGCAACAGTTGCCATTTTCTTTTCCATTTCTCAATATAAACCCTATATGATCCCTATATAATGTAGTCTCCATTTTCTTTTCCATTATCCCAATACAGGGTGGGCAGGAACAAGACTGCGCAAGTTCCGGGAGCATCTGGTCAGAGCAGTAGTGGGCTCCGTGACAGGCATGCGCTGTGTGGGGATGCTGCAAAAAATACGGATGAAAAAGGCATCATGCAAACAGCACTCGAGAATGATGCAATGCTACCTCAAACTGGAGGTCGACGAAGAAGTCGCGGAAGGTTGGTAAAATGGGATTGCTGGGCACCTCAGCATCAGCGAAAAAGCTCAAAAAGCTTGGAAAACTAGAGACGACACTCTTCACGCAGCCGAGAGACATAGCCAAAGGTCGCATAAGCACCAGTGAGCCAGCCACCGGATCTTAAAATCAGCCAGACTGAGCTTGCCTTACTGGAGCTTAAGGGAGTGGGGGAATGGATCCCTATAACAACCCCAATCAAAACCCCATACATACCCCTATAATTGAACCTATATTCACTCCCCCACACCCCCTTAAGCACCAGTAGGTTGCTAGCCAGACCGTCGCTGCTGCGTTGAATGCTGTTCGCTGAATTGTCTCCAGTAGATTCTTGGAGTTGGTGGCCTTCTCTTCAAAGGCGCCCAGCGCCAGGCCTGCCACCAGCCAACATATGAGGCTTACACCACTTAAAGGGTCATGGGGACTTAGTAAGTGGGTTAATAATGGGGATAGTTGGGGTTATTATATGGCTGATAGGGGTCATGCCTGCCACCAGCCAACATAAGGCGTACACCACGCCATGGAAATATTCTGGAAAAAAGAAGCCAGCTTCGTTGTCAGGCATTTGCCGATACCAATCCGGCTCCAGCAGCCGGAGGAAGATCACCTGGCTTTAGTGATGTTAAGGGACTTAAGGTCTAGGGTTTAGGGCTTATTTGCGATTTAGAGATTAGGTTACCATTAAACGGACATCCCAATTGTTCATCATATATCCATATCATGGTAACTCCAACTGAACTCCTTACCAGCAGTCCGGTCACGGAAAGCATGGGAGCGGCAAAGCTTGTGGTCGCTAAATCTCCAACCAGAGTCCAGACGTTTGCTAGACTGGGGTTTGAAAGCCTTTGGGAGATGCTGACCACATCAACCTCTTTCCTGTGCTGAACTTGGAACCCGAGTAAAAAATACCTTTTTGGCTGTTTCTTAGGGTTGAAATAAGCCAAAAGTAAAGCCATTTCCAAGTACCCCTAAGTTTCATGACATCTAGCTTGTAGGGCTCTGTGAATGCCGGTTCGGCTTCCTGGCCCCGTGCACGGAGGCTCATTTGTGAACCACCTGCTTTTCTGCAGTTTCTGCCACTATGGAACACGACTCGGAGGGAAGCCAGCAGGCCTCCAATCAATCAATGACAATAGTAATAACAATAATAACAATAATAACAATAATAACAATAATAACAATAATAATAACAACAATAATAACAATAACAATAATAATAAGAACAATAACAATAATAACAATACTAATAAGAGTAATAACAATAACAATAACAATAATAATAACAATAATAATAACAATAATAATAATGCAGGCCTCCAATCCATGGTACGGCTTGAGAAAGGTCTTTGTTTGGCCTGCATGGCCCTGCTGGAACGCCCCTACGATGAGCAGAATGCTCTGGGAGGGAGGTCAACGAGACGCGCTGACTGCCCCATGGCAAAGGCACATGCATGATTGCCAAATCGGTGAGATGAGTCGGATTTTCCTAACATCAATGAAACCTAGATAGCATGCCAGACTCTCAGATACTCTTACAGTGCCAAGCCTGACACATATCGAAAGCTGGTCCCACTGATTGTTCTTTGGCTTTGATGGTGAGTGATCATCTGAGTAGTCTACCCAGGCCGCTGACAAGCCAGCATGAAGCCTCCAACTGCTCACTATTGCTTCTTCCGTGGGCGATGAGGAGCAGCGTGGCGATTGATCCAGGCTAGTCACTTCGTCAAATCTTGAAAGTCAAGCACGGCACAAGTCAAATCGGCTGCAACTCAAGTACATCGTTTCAGGAAACTGTCCGAGGACCTGGGATCGTAATCTCACGCCGTGAATAGATGGCAACCTCAGAAGACATTCCAATGTTGTTAGGGTTTAGGGTTTAGGGTTAGCTCGTACCAAGCTTAGCAGGACGGTGGATAACCAATGTCTCGACAACGCGGCTACCACCCGCAAGATCATTTACTATATGGATGCCAACCCTAAACCCTAAACCCTAGGTGGTCTTCTGCAAGCCCAAAAGAAAACGCCTTGGCCCTGAATGCAATGATGACTCGATGACTCAGAAGATTGCAAATTCATGGCGGTTTAGGGTTTAGGGTTTAGGGGTTCCTGCTGAATAGCGTAGGGGCGCGGCCATCCATTCCACAAGGCATCATTAACCTCCCGGTTTCGGGTTTAGGGTTTGGTCATAGAGGGATATATAGGGCTATTTGGGATTATACAGGGTTATATAGGTATAATGGGAAGGAAATGGAAACTACTGTTTAGGGTTATATAAGGAACTATATGACCCTATGTAGTCCCTTATATAACCTTAAACAGTAGCTTCCATTTTCCTTTCCATTGTCCCTATAGTGTGTGATCAGTTTGGGGATGCAAGGTCCATGTACGAAGATCGGACATATCCATGATCCCTATACAACCCTATGTAATCCTAAATAGCCCTATATATCCCTAAATAACCAAACTCTAAAGCGGAAACCCTATACTGGGAGGTTCATGTCCGTAGCAGTGGCCAGGATTCAAGCGGAAGCAATTCCAAGAACTCCAGGGCCTCAGCTTGGAAGAAAAATCGTCACTGGAGTGCCTGCCGCGGTTTAAGGTTTAGGTTTTTGGCTTATGCTGGGAAGTGACAGAGAGCGCCTGTTGCAGGACACTATTGTCACGTCACCATTTCGGAGCTATGCCGGGACCTCTTCTTCCACCACCCTCACCTGACATCTCGCGACAGTGACATCGAAGCAAGGATACAACCCTATATAATCCTATGTAACCATATTTAACTGTATATCCCTTCTGGTAAACCTGTCAGCAGCACGGGTGTACATGGGAGGGTCCAAGTAATCCTCCTGCAGCGCGATGATTCTGAATAATAATAATAATAATAATAGTATTTATAATAGTAATAATAGTAATAGTAATAGTAATAGTAGTAATAATAGTAATAGTAATAGTTGAGGAAGCCCCTAAGCCCCAAGTTCTGCTTTCCATTCTCTTTTCCATGACCCCTTTATGACCCTGTATAACCCTATATAACTCCGTATAACTGTATATTCCTATCTAACCCCTTGTATATCCTTGTATAACCCAACATAACCTTAATTGATTCTGTGGAAGCTTCAGGGCCTGCTCATCAAAGTGGTCCAAGCCTCGCGCGTGCGCAGCTTCAAGGACCGCATGAAAGACATGAACTTGATGTTTACAGTAGGTGTTTAGGGGTTTAGGGTTTAGGAGAACCCCCATCCTGTAACTGTGGTATGGTAGAAATACAAGAGGACCCTAATATGATCACTGCTATTCCTCATAATCACTATTACCGAATGGGGGATCCATCTAATGTATACAGTATATGCTGTCCCAGGCCAAATCCAGGCCTCCTCTTTCGCCGCCGCGGTTCTTCCTTCCACCTGCGAGCAGGAACATGTTTGCAGGCGTCCGCAATAGATGTTGAAACTTTATCCCATCAGGCGTCTTCCTCCAAAAATCTGATATCAGCGTCTTGAACGACAAAACCCTAAACCCTTAATAGAAGCGTCCATTTTCTTTTCCATTCTCCCTACATATCCCTTTATGGGGGTCCAACCCTAAACCTACGAATATGCGCAGTCGACAGGGACTGTCTCGGCCACGCCTCTAGTTCCGCGGGTCGTCCGCTTGGAGTACGGCATGGAGATCTGAACGCAACAGCATTCAATTCTTTCTTGGGCTGATCTATGGTTTCATAGAGTTTAGAGTTTAGGCTTTAGGGTTCAGGGTACTTACAAAAGGGTTTCCTGCTTTAGGGTTCTTCAGGTTTTTTAGGGCTGGTAGATGTTAGGATTTCTCAAGCTTAGGGGCACCATATTGGAGGCTCCATGGAAACTACCACAACAACATCCTTTAACCAAGTCATAGCGAACAGCCTCTTAGAACTATTACTACTCTTACACATACCATAGTCTCTTATACTTACTACTGTGCATACTACATAAGTAAAGAATATAGACACATGCAATACTGTGTATCCTCAAAACAAACCCAATATACTATAGGTATCTATATAACCCCAATAATTGGGGTCCCCAACCCTAAACCCTAAACCCTAAACCCTAAACCCTAAACCCTACCCACTAATTCCAGGCGTACCAAGCATTTGTTCCGGTCGAAGAGGGCGCTCGCTTCGAAGCCGGCAGCAAGCAGCCACCTCCAGCAGTCAGTTGGGTTTTAGGGTTTAGGGTTTAGGGTTTTAGGGTTTAGGGTTTAGGGTTTAGGGTCTAGGGTTTTAGGGTGTAGGGTTTAAGGGTTTAGGGCTTAGGGTTCTTAAAACCATGGGCCCCCAGTATGGACCCTTACCCTGGGATCCTTATATACCTAGAATATCCCAGAAGGGCTAAGGGCCCATATTAGGGGCCCATACTTCTATCCTCAGAGAGTTTAAGGTTTCCTTTAAAAAGGGTGGGAATTCCCAGTCTAGGTTACAAAGCTTGAGGTCTTATGGGCAGTAGAGACAGTTGAGGTTTGGAGTGTCCTTTCAAAGGGATGGGTTGCAGGGGACATGTAGGTATAGATAGGTAGTGAAGGGTTATATGGTGATCTTTAGGGATGTTGAGGATTTCTTGGTAAGGTCAACAAAATCTAGGGCTCAGGCCCCATACAGACTCCAAAATGTTCTACTATTTATTATGAGACCCACTGAATGACAAGAATAAGGGCTATGTCAGTAGACGCTTAGGGGTAGCATGACAGGGAGGCATGGGATGGTGCAGCTGCCCAAGCCATGGTACACTCTGTTGTCCAACTATACCCTGATGAATCTGTCCATTCCCCTACTCTTCTTTCAAGAGTTGAAGAACCCAAAAATCTCTTCAACATTCGCTGATTTGGAAAGGTCTGCTGACATGTTGCAGCCCAATCTCAGGTTAAACTGTCCCCCATTTTAGGTGGACCCCCCACCCTGCAACAGTGGTATAATAGGAATACAAGAGGACCCTAACATAATGCTTATTATCCCATTATAGCCACTATTACTGGGGAGGATCCACCTAAGCCTAGTACTCAACTGGGTGCAATGCTGCCATGACCCTGACATCACTCAGGGCGCCGCTTTTTGAAACTGCCATCATTTTTCCTTTCCTCAGTCAGGGCGCAGAGCCGGCCGTTGTCCAACTCCGAAAGATTAATGTCAGCGCCACCGGAAGATTTTCATTTACGGTTGCGGTTTTTTAAGACAAAGGGTTGAGGGTTTAGGGCTTACGGTTCAGGGCTTGAATCAGTTCAACTAAACATCCTGAAAAGTAATCAAAACAACGCATCACTTGTCACCCATATGGCAGTTTCCATAAATCGGGGGACCTAATATAGAACCCCACAATTCTTATTCTTGGGACCCCCCAAAAGATACCCCTAATTCTGGGACACCCCCAAACCCTAAACCCTAAGCCATAAATGGTAGTTTCCATGTTCTTTTCCGTCATCCCTATATAACCCCCATAGAACCCCTATAAATCTGTTAAAAGGGTACTCGCTAGTTTCCGGAAATCCCAAAAAAATCTCCCTGCCAGCCAAAAATCCATGCTGTAGCCATGGCGAGGGTCAGCGCGGACCTTGGCTCCAGGCTGTCCCCATAGTTACCACGGGGGGTTAGGGTTTAGGGTTTAGGGTTTTAGGGGTTTAGGGTTTAGGGTTTAGGGTTTAGGGTTTAGGCTATAGGGGTATATAGCGATTTTACACCAATAAGAATGGAAAATCAAATGGGAAGAAAATGGAAAATGAAATGGAAGCTGTGATTATATAGGGGATTATAGGGGTTAAGTTATAGTCTAAACTCCTGGTATCCCCCTGTATTTTTATCCCCTTTTTGGTCCCCTATGTAACCCCCTTTGAAGGGTTTAGACTATAGCTCATATGGGGACATGGAGGGGTATGGAAAATCAATTGGAAACTACTACCCCTACTTAACCACATATTACATTTAATTTTCCATGTTCTTTCCGCTGTTGGGATAATACCCTCAAATCCAGGACCCCGAAAAAACCCTTGCAGGCAGCACAGGAACTATCTGAACACCCATACTTTCCGGAAGGCATCGGATTTCAAATCACTCAGGATGTTTGGGACACCAGGTTTTTCAATGCCTGACCAACTGTCTTTTGTGTACCTTAAACCCTAAACCCTACACCCTAGCCACTACTCCGGGTTGGCCCACATGGCAGCTGAGGAACCACTGCGTTGAAGCGGCCGGCGAACATGGAGGCCAATTCCTGAACCTCCCAGGGTTCAGGCATGCCCACGCAAGATTGTTATAAAGAATGATATCCCATACTTAGGGGTTTAGGGTTTAGGGTTAAGGCCAACAAGAGGAGGGGAGTCTTCAATGAGGGTACTTGAAAAAGCGGGTATAGAAGGGGTATATAGGGACCATGGGGAGTTATATAATGGGGTATATAAGGCTTATGTAAGGTCCCTACCTGGTAACTCCCCTCCTGTAATTGCCTTGGACATACCTGTCTGAAAACTGGCCCCTGAACCCTGCCTCCTTGGGACCTGTTGTGAGGAACTCCTGGACGCTCTCCAGTAGTTGGTCCTGAAATAAGGGTTGCCTAAAATTAAGGGTACCTTTTTGTAGAATTTTGGGGTCCATGTGGGGTACCCCTATTGAGGGAAACTACCAAATGTTGGTTCTTTGCCATTCTGTATGGATCATCAGCCACTTGATCTCACCAACAAAAGGAGCCTCGCTAGAACTAACATCTTGCACCTATAATCCCTATATAGCCCTTAGTAGCTTCCATTTTCTTTTCCATTATCCCTATATAACCCCTATAATTTTGAGAGCAACCCAATACAAACTGTAACCAAAAGAGGCCCATCCTAGGTATCAGACTGCAGAGCCTGCTCCTCTTGATAGCATCAATGATTCTACCTCACTTCAGCCCTGCCTGATCGCAAAAGCTAGGCTGGTTTGAAACGAACAGGAAGCCGGTTTTAAGCAAGAAAGGGCCAAGACTGGGCACGTGTTTTGGCTTGAGTGTATGGGTGGCGTTGAGAGTAATGGCTCGAAATACAAAAGCTAACTCACCGGGAAAGAATATGGGTCAACATTTCTCGACAGAAGAGGAACATAAACCAACGTCACTTGAAAGAATGTAATGTGGTGCGGGGCGCGGTTCTCAGCATGGCGCCGCCCACAGACCCTAATGATACGCAAGGCTTGTCAGGAAAGCAAGGGAAAGGTTAGTGAACGCCATCCCATGCTCGCCTCCGTCTCACCGTCCCACTGTGACCAATCCTCCTCTGGCCAGGCCTACAGCGATGACAGCATTTGCACAGTCAAGAGCAGCAGCATATTGCAGCGCAGCAGCAAGAACAACATAGCGCAACAATTGTAGCACACAAACAAGCCCAGGTCCAGGAGCGCCGGAGAACTACTCGCACAACGGCAACCCAAGCCATCACCAAAAGCAAAATGGCCGCATCCACAGCAACCACGACTATCAAAAAGATACAAATGCCACAACAACAGCACCACCACCAGCACCAAAAACACCACCAGCACCGCCTCCAAGACCAAGGATGACCAATGCGACCACTTCGCACATGACGAGGACCAACAACATCACCATTGCCGCCGCAGCGACCGCACGACGGCCGACAGCGGTACTGCTGTCATTCTGCGTTGGCATCGCACTGTTGTTTGGAGCCCACTGTTTGCTGCAGGGCTAGCCAGTACAGCCTTTGGCCTTTGCGCCACCTCGCATGTTGACTTGCAAACCCCCAACCAAGGAAAATCGTGCCAGAAGCTCTTAGCCTTTCCCCGTGATTCGGAGCATGACTGGATTGAACATAAGGCTGGCCTGAAATATATATATATATATATTAATATATAACCCTAACCCCATACCCTAAAACCCCTTCAAACATTTTTTCTGTGAGGCTTTTACCTAGCTGCCTGTGGAGTCAGTTGCAGGCTGCTGCTGGAAGCCAGCGCCCAGGGAGGCATTATCCTAGCTTTACCAAAGCTATCCATTTTAAGCACGTGCTGTACACCCTAAACCCGGAAGACGGCGCAAAAAGCAAGGTGACCTGCCGGGTCTGCGGAAGCAGTTCTTTTCCTTACAGGCTTCCTGTTAAACTGTTGGTAGTCCCCCTTCAGTAGATAGAATACGGGGTATATGGGGATCTTGTTTAAATATACCCAAAGCCATATTCTGTCTACTTAAGGGGGACTGTATCCCCATGCAAATGCTACAGAAAGGGTGGCTGAACCGGAGTATGTTTCAGATCATCTAATTGCCTTGCAACAAATGCCGTCAGGGCTGTGTGGAAGTCACCCCAGTGGGCAAAGGGAAGGAAGCTGCAAAAAACATGGAAAGGCTACCCTGCAAATCCGTTTTCCAGCTCCAACACACCCCCACACCTGCAGGGTTTGTTGGGTCCACTGGAAGATGCCCAACTGGCGCTTCGCGCTATAGTGGAGAAGGTCTGGCAGGACATGCCAAAGCACGGGCATCAAGCCATTTCAGTGAGGTCTCAGCCGCTGGGCTGAAAAAGGACGCTGCCCTCTCCCGAGCTGAAGCATCAGCTTGAAAATCACCCCGCCACATCCACCGAAGAGACTCGTCATACTGGGATTTGAAGGTGACTCCGAAAGATGAGACTTGATCTTGTGCAAGGAAAGTGTTCATCTTCTCTGAGCGTTCTTGGCGATGGACCACAGCCCTAATGGCAGCAATGAAAACTTCCCGACCCTTCAACCCCCAACCTCAGCATCATGCACTATATTCATGTTCACGATTACTGGCGTGGCCAGCAACATTTGGGTGCGCCTTCAACTGAACTGCGCCAAGTTCTAGCTGAACAGGACTCCGTGACAAAAGGTCCGGAGGATGTTCTAGTCGTGTCGAGGAAAAACATCCTTTAAACTTAAGAAGCAATCACACCTTGTTGTCTCAGAGATCGTTCTGCGGGTAGGGGCTGCAATTCGCCAAGCATTTCGCGCTGAAGACCACACTGGATTGCGGCGTCTCTTTTAACCATTGTTCAGGATCGGTGCAACTGCATGGTGCCCATCCGCAATCAATTTCACGCAAAAACCTATGAAAGCCAATTATGGCATTCCTTAAGTCGCAACAAAAATTGGGGTTATATGGGGTTATATTGGGATAATGGAAAATAAAATGGAAACTACTATAATGGGTTATATAAGGACATATTACCAACAAATCTTCAACCAAAACACTGACCAGCGTTACCACTAGCTCCACAAATCATTACCAGGGTAGTAAATATATCCTTATATAACCCATTATAGTAGTTTCCATTCTATTTTCCATTATCCCAATAAACCCCAATATAACCCCAATATAACCCAATAATCCCTACATAACCTGCTCAAGGCCCCACCAACAAGCCCTCGGCATTTCCAGCCTGAGTCTGCTCGTAAGCCTCATAGCCATCCCGCTTCCGTCGTCCTGACAACAACTTGCTGTGAAGCCAGTCAGTTAGGAACTTTAATTAAGTTACCATGATGGGTATATATATATATGGTATTTAATATGGTTTCCCCAGTATAGTAGCTTAAATTAAGTTCCTGAACAGCCACCCCGTTTCCGAGGCATTGAGCAGTGTGCAACGCTCCTACAACTCGGGCCTCGAGGGGCGCCCTGAGGGTTCCAACCGCCATCATTGCCTGATACGGTTTAGGGTTTAGGGGCCGAGGGCTTAGTATTGAGGGTTTAGGGTTCCCAAAATTAGGGTCCCATTTTGGTACCCCTAAATATTAGGTGCCATAATATAATTCAAAACCAAACGGGGCCCATAATTTTGAGAACAACCCACCCTGGCCCACTGCAAACCGCCTTCCCTCGAACCACAAGCCTCAATCTCTCAATCTCAAAACCATCAGAAGCGAAACAAACTTGAGCTATAGTATAGACTCCTAGCATCCCCCTTAAGAGCCCCTATAATGCTCCCTTATATAATCCCCTATAAAACCCCCCTTAAAAGAGTTTAGGCTATGGCTCAGTTGGCGCCACAATTTCCCCTAAACCCCAGCCTTAAATGCAACCGTAACCCTAAGCCAAAACCTAAAATCTGAACCCCAACCCTAAACCCTTAAACCCTAAACACAAAACCCGTAACCCTAACCCTAAACCCTAAACCCCAAACATTTCCCATGGCTCCGCCTCCGTGGCTCCATCCCCAACCTTCGGAATGCAGCCACTCGGCAGCCTTCCCGGGCGAATGGGGGTTTCCCAAAATTCGGAGCTTAGTAGAGTGTAGGATTTAGGGGGTCCCATATAGGGATTATAAGGATTATATAAGGATATTTAGGAAGTTATACTGTAAGGTTTGGGTAATAAAGAGGTTACATAAGGATAATGGGAAAGAAAGTGGAAACTATTGTTTCGGGTTAGGGGTTTAGGGTTTAGGGTTTCCCAAAGTTCAGGGTACCACATTTAAGGGTTCCCTTATAATCGTATATTGGGGTTCTATATTGAGGTGCACTTAATTTGGAAAACTACCACTTGGAGCAGACATACATAATCGGGATAGTTGGGGCCGTGCACTTCAATGAATTCATCCCTTTCGATTCATGCAGGATGGATGGATCTTAAAAACAGGAACATCGACAGAAGATATGCTGCCAAGGTGTCCAATGCAATCAGAACCCTAAACCCTAAACCTTGAACACTAAATCCCAAACCCTAAACCCTAAACCTTGAACCCCAAACCCTAAACCCTAAACCTTAAACCCTAAACCTTAAACCCTAAGCCCTAAACCCTTTGGAAGACCTGGAATGGCCGGCATCGCAGGGAATGCCTTGCTATCATCTTCTGATTTCTTCACAAGAATTACCCTCCCGAAAACTAACATGGAAACCCAAAAAGGGCCCTATAAAGACTACAGTCTTTTAAAAGGGAGCTATATTCGGCTATATGGGTTTCCATGTTAGTTTGGGGCAGTGTAGCTGGCCAAGCCATGAAGGAATCCAGGAAAGCCGAGGAAGGGGATTGTATTAGGGTTTAGGGTTTAGGGTTTAGGGAAGGGGATTGTATGGTTCTAAGCCTTCAGTCTGAGATTCAGTGCCCGGCTGCTCGCCCTAATCCCTGAACCTTCTATGTACATATGTCCCCTACAAACCCCCAACAAGGTACCCCTAACTGTGGGAACCCTAAACCCTAAATAGTAGTTTCCATTTCCTCTTCCATTATCCCTATATAACCCCTAAATAACCTCCTACCCCTAATTCCTCCTCAGGCTTGGACGTTGAGACCTTCAAAGTTCAAGCGAGGTTGGAATGCTGCACGTTGTGCTGACACAATACTCTCAAGTGTATTGGCAAAAGCGATTCCCTAAACCCTAAACCCTAAACCCTAAACCCTAAACCTTCAGTACTGCCCCCCCTCTTTAACAGTTGGATAAGAATTATAATATAGTTATATATAGCCCTTAATAAGACCCCTAATATAGACTGTTACCGGGTGGGGGCAGTACCCAACCTAAACCATAAACCCCAAACCATAAACCCTAAACCCCTGAACCCCTAAACCCTTGACCATAAACCCCAAGACCCTTGCGAAGCCAAAGGCCATCATCCGCCTTGTCCTTCTGGGACTTGGTAATGTTCCAGCCGCTAAGCAGGCGGGGTCTCCTGCTGCCTGCAATGGATGTGAAAACTGCTCTTTACGGTGATTTTGGTAACCCTAATCCCCACATATATATATATTAATTTATTAACAAGAATAACAAGTGGATTTGGGTAACCTGTAATGATACGGGGATTTTGGTACCCCCCAACCTGCCAGAAAGGTTAGGGTTTCAGGATTTTTGGGTTTAGGGTCCCCCACAATAGGGATCCTTTAACCATCATGTGATAGTCATAGTTTGGGCGTTTGGGGTTACCAAAATCCCTTATCATGTAAGACTCGCGTCTTGCAACAGACTGTGCGCTGCACAGGTCCCAGATTTGCTATTGTGCTGCACGTGTTGAAGACGTGCAGCGTCTGAAGAAAGCATGCTCCATTAGTGATTGGAATACTAGCCATAATAACCATAGTAAGTGTGCAAGTAATAGCAATAATACTACTAATAGTAATAGTAATACTAGTAATAATAAAAGAAATACCTCCAATCATAGTATCAATAACATAAGGATTATTAGCAATGATAGTACTACCTCCAACCTGAGACAGGCCTCCAGCAACGCGCTGGGCAGCGAAGATCAGTGGTGCCGGGGACTGCGATCCAAGGGCGCAACTACAACCCTCGATCTGAAATTCCAATCACGGGGAGGAAGAACA